AGGTGGATAAAAATGCCAAATCCAGTCTAAACATCTGGCTGACTGTGACCAACCATAATTTATTAAATGTATAAGCTGCCCAACTCCCAGGGGCTCTGGCTGGTTTACAAATTGTTCAGATTGTTTGAAAAGAAATAATACCAAAAAACCCACAAAACAAATAAGATGGCAAAGAAAAACTAGGATGGGAGCAAGGGAAAGGAAAAGGGGGTGTCAATTCTCTCCAAAGACCTGGGTGAAGAGCCAGGTCTTCAGGGCCCTTCGAATTGCATTTTTCCAGGGGAACCTCATTCCAGAGGGCAGCGCTGCTACAGAGAAGGTGTGCCTTCGGGGTCCAGACAGATGGCATTGTTTAATTGATGGAACCCAGAGTGCACCAACTCTGCCAGATCGAATCAGCTGAGCAGATACAATGCAAGACAGATGGTTCCGCAAGTAACCAGGCCCTATGCCATGTAGGGCTTTATAGGTGGCGAGCAGCACCTTGAATCACACCCAGAAGCAAGCTGGCAACCAGTACAGCTTGTGAAACAGAGGTGTTACCTGGGCATACTGAGGCATGCCTATCACTGTCCACACCGCTGCATTCTGGATCAGCTGAAGCTTCTGGGTGGTCATCAAGGGCAGCCCCGTGTAGAGTGTGTTGCAGTAGTCAAGCCATTTTAAAATGTTTTATGACATTTCCAGAGTGTCACTGAATGGATTTTCTGATCCTGGGCCATGCACCAATCCCAATCTGGCCCTGGAGATAGTGCTGCCACCAAGTGAAACCACCTGGACTTCTGGATATCTAGACCAGCTGTCGTCCTGGGCAAGGACTACTTTTCCAGATAAAGGCAGAGCCAAGAGCCCTGCTGTTCCAGCGACATGGGATGGTTGCGGGGAGAGGAGTGTGGGCGTCCGGTGAGGTGGGCTTACGGACACCCAGCTCCTCTCAGAGGCTGACCCCTTCCTTCTTGTCTGCCAAGGTTTCCGCTTGCCCTTAATTGCAACTTGTCTCTGCAGCAAGCAGGTGGAGTGGCAGAAAGAGGTGAATGGCCCTGGGAGGTTCTCTCTTGCAGGATGCGAAGGGGCTGTAGCTCACCAGTTTCAAGGCCCAGAGATTGGCAGCTGCTCCCTAGTAGTCTCCTGGGAGGATGGATGCCCTGAGATGGCAGGCAGGGTTAGGGTTACAGGTAGTCCTCAACTTAGGACCACAATGGGGACTGGAAGATTTGTTGTTAAGTGGTGTAGTCATTAAGCGAGGTGTCACATGACTTAACCTGATTTTATGACATTTTGGAGCTGGTTGTTAAGCGAATCAAACAGTCATTAAGTGAATCATGCAGTTCCCCATTGAGTTTGCTTGTTGGAAGCTGGCTAGGAAGGCTGTAAATGGTGATCATGTGACCCCGGGATGCTGCAACTGTTGTAAATACATGCTTGTTGCCAAGCGCCTGAATTTTAATCATGTGACTGGGGGGATCCTGCAGTGGTTGTAAGTGTGAGGACCAGACATAAGTCACTTTTTTCAGTGCCACTTTAACTTCAAACAGTCGCTAAACAAATGGTCACAAATTGAGGAGTACTGGTAGTGTTCTGTGTATTTGATCCAATTACCAGGCTGGGGGGACTGGTTTTCATGTACCAAAACAGCCATTTGGCTCCAAGTCTAGGGAACTGACTCCCACCAGCATTATGCCTGGAGTTGGATCATGTAAAGTTTAACATTAAAAGCACTAAAAGTGCTTCCATTCCATAAATTTGAATGTGTGGGTGTTGATGTTCTTGTAGCTTATCAGGGACCTTTTAGTTTAGAGGCACAGCTCCTTAATTTATTAATTGTAATACATTATTGCTTAGAATGATGAGTTATAAAATTCATTTACTAGTACCATCAGTCTAGTTTATCAATCCTGTTAACTATCTCAGAGGGTTCCAGCTCCAGAAGTTATCAGGGTACAAAGCCCCATTTCTGTCTACAGCAGCAGCATGAACCTTGAAGCCCCTAAGACAATGTTTGGCAAGGTGCCCTGGCTATATTTTAAATAGAAAGGCAGAGTAGGAGTCTCAGCAATCTCAGACATCTGCTCAAGATGCTGTAGAGTGACAAGGTGACCCCAGGTCTGGCAGAACTGCTTTGGACAACAGAGTCAACTTTTGACTTGGATTATCCGGATGACTAAAAACTAATCTCAGGTGAAGCAAAATGAGAAAGCAAACAAGCTCCATCTTTCAAGGCCAGATTTGGGGAAGGGGGTTTGAAGAGGTGTCTTCGAGCTCCTGAGGGTGGACCCTTTTTCACCCTGTGCCCAACTCAAGTATGGAAACCACCTGAGTTTTGACCCACATGCTCAAAAGAGAGAAGTGGTGACCAAACCGGAAAGTGGTGGCGGTGTGTGAGAGATCCGGTCGAGCAGTGGTTGGGCATTGACCTACATGCTCAAGCAGAAATATGTTTATTGATTTCTTTATAGAAATGTGTATATACTGCCTATTCACAAGACTTTAGGCAGCTTAAAACATAAGAACATAAAAACAGTAATAAATTAAAACACTTTGGATTGAGAGGCAGGAAATCTAAAGGAACTGATTCGTGAACAAGTTTTGGGGAAGTGAGATAAGCGTTAAACAAAAGGAAGAAGTATTTTTCTATTGTAAAACATGCTTTTGTAACAAGACAGCCAACCTAAGCATTACATTGTCAAGGAGGATGGAATGTCCTTGATTAGAGTGAAATACCCTAGCCTTAACCCTAACCTTGCAGTTTCTCACCTCCTCACTGAGGCTGCCTCCTGGACAAACCTTCAGGTGGTCAGGTGAGGGCTTTCTCATTGCTTTTGCCATGATAGGATTAAAAGGGCTTTTCTTGACAGTGGAAATGTGATTGTTCTTGGGTCAGGTCCTATTTTACATATGCAAGTGGGGGGAGCAAGAGTGGGGGGGAAGAGTTTGCAGCTTTATTTCATTATTTTTCCATCACAATTATCAGTCAATAAAAGTTTTGGATATAGTTGAGAATTTATATACAAAGCAACTCTATTTTTTTTTGAGCACAATGATAATCCCTCAGCTCCCAAGCCGCTTAACCCACAATTGACCTCAGGAATCTC